CTCCCCCTCTCTCTCTGCCCTCCCCTCCTTCCTCCTCCCAGCCCCCGACCCCCCTGGCTGGTGGTACCCCTTTGGACCCTGAATAGACCCTGCTGGGACTACTGGAGGCTATGCGACGCCTGTCTTATGGAGAGGTGCTATGATCCGCCAGAAGCATTGGAGGTTCGGCACACCCTCAATCGTGTATAATAACGATGTTTCTGGGTTGCTGTCTGGGACTGGGCTGGGGGCCTGTCTTGTGCTGACCTCATTTTGATCTGAGCGCATGTCTGACATCTTGGCGGCCATGATTTGGAAAAGAGGACTGAGGACTGATGTTATGTAGCCATGCATCATGGTCAATCTTTCTCCTGGCGACTGTTTGTTTTGTGGAAAAGCTGTGCACTACCTGCAGGCATGGAAAGCACGTGCCAACTGGCGGGGCCTGTCTTGTGATGATGGTCTTATTTTGAGGAGCCAAGCGCCTGTACTACGGCGACTTGGCCATGATTTGCAAAAGATGACTAATTTAGCCCCACATCGTCGTCAATCCTTGTCCTCTTATTGTTTTTTTTTTTTTTTTTTTTTTTTTTTTTTGTGGAATTACTATGCACTGCCTGCAGGCCTGGAAACCACATGTAAAGAAGGGAGTGGTGCTGGTCTCTGTGGCACAGAATGGAGAATTGTGGCCGGACGGAGAATCCTTCTTCTACGGAACCGCGGTATGAACTGTAGTCAGGACTTGATGCAACCCTTTTTCTTTCCTCCCCTCCGTATCTTGTCTCCTCCCTCCTTCCCCCCGCTCTCCCCCCCCCACTGCACCCCCCCCAAGAAACACAACAGCAGTTCTTTGAACTTCTTTCCTCTTACCTTCCCCCCTTTTTCGATTTTTCAATTTTAAGAAAAGCAAGATATTCTGTTTTCAATTGTGGAAAAAAACTGTGAACTTGATGATAACTTATGGCTTTGTCCATCCATGCTATCTTGGGGGGGAAGGTCACATAAGCGGTTAACAGGGACCCCCATTTTCAGCCCCAGTTAACCCCCTCAACCCTGAAAAGTGCATTGGAGATCATTTTTTTTTTTGGGTCAGATGGGTCTGGTTCTGCCTCCTCTGGCAGGTCAAGAAATCGAAAGGCAGTCGATACATGGCATGTAGACAGCATTCGCCCAAGCCAAAATGAATGCACCATGAGTGAGACTTGATGAAAGTATGTTCTTAGAGCCGGGCAGGTGGGTCCAGGCTTTTGAAGCCACACACACACACACACACACACAAAAAAAAAAAAAAAAAAAAAAAAAAAAAAAAAAAAAAAAAAAAAAACAAACAAAAAAAAACAAAAAACAAAACAAAAAAAAAAAACACCATCACATGGCCGCACGTGGCAGACCCTTTTTTTAGAGGCCTTCAAAACCCCTTCAAAAGTTTAAACCACCAGTACCTGGCCCCAGCCAACTTGAGAAAATCCCGATTGAGCCTCTCCAAAAGTTTTGGAGGCTCGGGGGAACCAGACCAAAATGGCTGGCGGCGCCAGCCAAAACAAAAAACAAGAATGCCGTGCTGGCAGAGCTTGGCAGAGCTTGGCCTGCAGGGGAATGGGAATCTGTCCCTCGGACAAAAGAGGCCCAGAGGTACTGGTGGTTTAAGCCCTGTTTGTAGCCTCCAGAGTCCAGACCCTTCTAAAGTGAGGCACCACCAAATTTAAAGATAAATGCTGGATTTGGGTACGTCATGACCCACCATGAGCTTTTGGCAAAAGTAAAAAGGAAAACCTCATTTTTTGGCTTCCCTGGTTGACCTGGGCAGGCGGGTTCCAGCTTTTCCGGGACCCGGCTGTCCGGCCGACCAGCTGGGCCTGGGCCACCCTGGTACCCCAGCTTTTTTTTTTTTTTTTTTTCAGTATGGATGGGGTTTGGTTTCATCAGAGTGCGAAAAGACTGACGGGTTCGTTGTTACCTGCAGGCCGCAGTGATGGAATCTTCCGGCTATGGATACAGGTATGTGAAGCCGATAAACTCTTCCTCTTTTGTTTTGTTTTCCCTCCTTTTCTTTTTTTTTTAAGTTTTTTTTTTTTTTGGTGTAAAGGTCCTATTCCCCATGAGACCCCAGCCACCCTTCCTCTCTTCAATTCTCCCCAGCACACCCCCACTGCCCCCATCCTACCTTAGTGTAGAAGCCGATAACCTCCTACCTCCTCTTACCAGTTTGGCTCGTCACCAAACCAGACCAAGTGCATTGAATGTGGGGACCACCACATAAACATCCCAGGAAGAAATCCTCATTATTGTCATCAGTCTGTGATTAATATTGCTTCGACACATTTCATTTGGTGTCGCGCCAGCACTCATCAAGAGGCTTTCCACACTCCCGCATCCGCCAGTACATTCCACCCTGAGCAAAAAAGAAGAAGAAGAAGAAGAAGAAGAAGAAGAAGAAGAAGCTGGAACCAATGACATCGCTCTCTCATCCCACCTCCATCATCCCCCCATCATCTTACTATTTCTTATAAACAACAATGACAACGAATGACAGAGCCAGAATAGATGTCTGATTACTCCCCCTTAGTGCCAGCAACATAACCCCTCACAGCTCGCAACATAAAGAGTCCTTTCTCAATGTCCTATGTCTCTCATACGCCTTGAAATGTCATCTGGCTATGGTGGCACATGCAAGCCCAGCAGGGATGCTGAAATGACAATGCAAAGGCTCTCCCAATGCAAAGGCTCTCCCACATATAGATTCTTCTTTATGGGTAGCTTCTCCGTCAGTGTCCCTCTTTCTCACAACGTATTTCCTCTTCCTCTTCTTCTTTTTCTTCTTCGTTTTTTTGCCCAATGTATTTCTTCAATTTGCTGCGGACTGAGGCTGCTTCGGAGACACTGACTTGAAATCGGGTATTATGGTTTGCAGCCTTGTTGATGGTGGTTTCTCGGGCGAGGAAGCGGGTGCAATTGATGGTATGGCTTGGCCCTGACCACACCTTATCCCTTCTTTTCTTATCCAGTTGATTTACCTAGAGTTAAATTTCACACCAAGGAGACAGGCATGGAACATATCAAGCTTGTAGGAGAGGGCATCCTTGGTGTGAGTGAGAATGGATGCCGTGCCTGTGTCGTGTTGTGTGTGGTCTGAGTAAGGACACTACAGCCTTGCAGGGGTGGGTTGGGGTGGGTTGGGGTGGGGTGGGGTGGAAGTCACGACCCGTATGGCTCCACTTTTAAACCCCTGGCCCTAGCTGTACTGGTTAAGAGACTTGGCTCTTGTGGTGAAGGGTGCCAGTTCGATTCCGTCCGTGTGCGCGCGGATGGGTTTGAGGATCGTTTTACGGCCTGGTTAACCGGCATGGTTCCACTTGTAAAACACCGTGTCGCGGTTGTAGGGGTTAACAACTTGAGAATGGACAAATGAAGTGGATAAGAAAGCCCCTCAGTCTTCCAAAACTTCTCCAGTAGTTGTCAGTTTTTTTTCTCAGCTGAAGGCGGTGGGTATTGGGCCCGGGTATTTCAAATGACTTGTATAATTCCATATGGGACGATGGGCCCAGTTTTCAGCACGTGCTGCTGCCCACGAATAGACTGGAGCATTTGTCGAATTTTGTCCCAAAATTTCCAAAAAGAAAAAAAGAAGAAGAAGAAGGATAAGAATGGATCAGGGGTCCTTGGGACAGACGGCATGAAAATGGATAGATTCACAGGACAAGAATGGATATAGGCTCATATAGCAATATATATGCACATCAGGGGTCCTTGGGACAGACGGAAAGAAGCATGTGCAAGTTCTATTGTAAAATCTTGACTTTCGGCGTCTTTTGCACTACATCGCTGTTTTTTGTTAATGAGCAATAATGAGCAATAATAAGGCCATGCTTTTTGCCCAGTGCAGATGTTCACGGGGGCTCTGTGGCAATGGACTGATGCATGGGCTTCTTCTTTAGATCATTTCTCCAGTGGCTTTGCGTGGGGTTAGAGGGGAGGGAAGAGTGGAAGGTGGTTATTGACCGCCCGGCGCCTGCCACTGCTGCATCTTTTTTTTCAATCTCAGTAAATTACTAAAATATGATATTCGTATTATTTTCGTTACTCATTTCATATTTCTATGTTTCATCTTGTCCCCTTGCATCCTTTTTTCCTTCCTCTCTCTCTCTCTCTCTCTCTTTTTTTTTTTTTTTTTTGCCCTTGCATCCTGTTCGTTTCTCGTGATTAATTGCAGTGACTGTTGGTAAGGCGGGCCGTGATGAAGAAGCCAACATTGATGTGGCCGTTGCCTGGTTTCCATACAGTCAAGGTAGCATTTCTGAACACTCGTTCTCCCACTCTCACCTGCCTCTCTCTCTCTCTCTCTCTCTCTCTCTCTCTCTCTCTCTCTCTCTCTCTCTCTCTCTCTCTCTCTCTCCCCCTCTTCATATCTCTCTCCATCCATGCCATGACTAGGGGGGGTGTTCACGGTGTACGGGATGCTGGTCGGCAACCGCGGAGGGTCTTGGATTCTGCGTGGGTGCTGCTGCCTGCGGAAGATCTGATGGATGGTCTGCGTTGACGATTAAGTCCTTGCTGCAAACGTGCTGGGGTGGGCTGAATGTCATGACTGGTATGGCTACAGTTTTGAATCCCGGTTCACCGGTGCAGTGGTAAGGGCATCTGGCTGCGGTACAGCGGACTCCACCGAGGTCACGGGTTCGATTCCGTTTGGCTGCGGAATAATTCCGTTGGGCTTCGGATCAATTACTGGTCTATTATGATAACCTACCAACATGACTCCTGTTTCCAATCGATCTTTTTGGTTGCCGTCTTTTCGTTTGTGTTTTCCACTTTTGTGTCTACGACAAGAGTCCCTTTTTTTCTTCTTTTTTTTGTAAAATTTCAAATTTCGGATATTGCTATTGGTGGCCAGGTCTGGTTGAAATTTGAAATGGTATCCTGGACACCTTTTTTTTTTTTTTTTTTTTTTTTTTTTTGGAATTAGTACGTGGGCCGATGTTAGTCAGGTTGGTAACAAAAAGATTACTTGCAATCGCATGCCACTCACAGGTTTGTTAATAATTGGAATTTTTACTTGCACGATGCGCTGCGAGCCTGCGGCACTGCAATGTGCATGCGAGGTGCAATGTGCTCCCGTGCCCAAAAATTGCAAAAATGTCGTCGACCATGCTCCATTTTTTTTCAAACTGTGCAGTCAGTTAGTTTTTCTCTGTCGTTGCTTTCATATTGCAATCATTGCACTGTCCTTACCATGCTCCATTTTTTTTCCTTTTTTTTTTTTTTTTTTTTTTTTTTTCGGTCGTAATTCTCTCAAAGTTTGGGGTGAAACTCTTGCCTTGAGTCGCGGTTCCATCCCTTGGGCGGGAGTTTGGACCTCTATTGGGAGAATTTGGGACATTTGAGGATCTGCTTGTTTTCGGAGGAGAGGTTTCTCATTTGGATATATTTGCTTGCGTTTCGATGTGTTTTCAACTCTAAAACTTTTCGCCGACGCAAGTTGTTTTTACACAGCACAATTATTTTTTTGCGGCTGCATTCTTTTCTGGCAGTCAGGCCACATGTACTTTCTACACAGTTCATAGTAATGAAATGAAAACTTCACGCACCAGCATGTCACGCACATGAGACAAATTACAACGCGTTCGTTGCACGCTCTACGAACGCTTTGTAATTTGTCTCTTCATGCGTGTGACATGCTGACGTGTGACGTTTTCACCTCATTACTATGTAGTATGTACTGGGGTGTGACGTTTCAATCTCATTACTATGTATTACTATGTACTATGCATTACTGTGTACTATGTACTATGTATGTATTACTATATGTACTATGTGCTATGTATTACTATGTGTACTATGTACTATGTATTACTATGTACTAGGTATTACTATGTACTATGTATTACTATATGTACTATGTACTATGTACTATGTATTACTATGTACTATGTATTACTATATGTACTATGTACTATGTATTACTATGTACTATATATGGTCATAGTATGTACTATGCATTACTATGTACTATGTACTATGTATTACTATGTACTATATATGGTCATAGTATGATAGGAGCTAGGAAGTAGAAAAAGGGGGAAGGCATGCTGCCGGCAGGACTACTGCACCGTCGTTGTATTTTTGACGAGTGGAGGTGGGTGGGGGTGAAGACAGTCTTCTTCAGTGTATTTGGTGTGCATTTCAATTTGGTTCTCTGCTTCCCACTCGGATCAGTAATGTGTCGTGTCTTCGGGGAGATATCGCAATCTGGTTTATTGGTGTTCTCGTTGCATGGTTGCTTGGGATGGCACGGTGGGAATGAATGAATCTGGTTGATTCTGCGGAACAAGGATGATGCACATAAACCAAGAGGAAAGGGGAAAAAAAGAAAAAAGAACAAGCAATTGCAATCGCAATCGCCGGTTTTAATGCTTTGCTCAACTTTGCTGAAAAAGGTTTGTTGCCCTTATGAACAGGTTGGGTGGGAGGCTATGTCGACGCGCCGCAAGAGATGTCTGCCAAGTGGAGCGAAGAAGGGTCGCACAGTCCGCAGCTGCCGACAGATGTGAAGAAGCTTGTAAGCTTCAATGAACTCGAAGGAGCAGAGATTACCTTGCCGGGTGTGAATGGACGCCATGATGGAATGCTCTTCGTCACATCGTACGCTTGTCATCTCTTCTCTTACCCCACTGCAGTTTTCTCCTGAGCTCTTTTCTCTGTTCCGTCTCTTTTCTTCCAAAATAGAGGCGGGAAGCCCCTAAGGGGCTCTAACTGTATTCCATCCATCTGACTCCCATAAGGGTTCAAATTCGTCTGTTCATTCATAGAGGGGACCCTTAGGGGCTCCCTCTATGAGCGGCCCTGCATGCATGGCCGATCGCTGCACCAGTGCCCTAAGCATGCGTGCACCATACGTGCACTGCACTGGTGCAGCGATCGGCCGTGCATGCAGTGGGGAGGTTGGCATTCTGTGCAGTGGTGAGGAAAGTGTGTGTGTGTGTGTGTGTGTGTGTGTGTGTGTGTGTGTGTGTTATCATGTCCGCTAGGATTTGTCATGGTAACCGCGGACCCGGACGCCGGACACTTCCGGACTGTCCTGCGATCCGGACACCCGGATATTTCCAGACCCGGACAGTCCGGACTGGTGTAGGGGG